TTGCTGAGCACCCTTACGAGGGTGTTCGTCGCAGCACCATTAGCACTCTGCACCGCTCGTACGCGATGCTCTTCGCTATTGCCGAAGAGACCGGCCAGATGGCTAAGTGGAAGCCTGGTCTGCCTCTGCAGGTCGAGCCCGCCAAGGAGGTCAAGAAGTTTGGTGAAATTCTGATGACCGCTACCATCAAGATGTGGACTGAGGAAGATGATCGGTATGTATATCCTCTTTCTTTTCTTTCTGCATATTACTCGATGGCTGCTTTGCACAAGCATGCCGATTCAAATGATGAATACACTCGTTTACCCAGCTCACTCAGACACGCAAAATGCGTGCGTGATGTGAAACACGATTCTTTCCAACGAAACCTGAGACCTTGATTTCACTGCTCTTATTGTTTTCATGTCAATTTTTGATTGGTATTGACCATTTGACATAGGGCTACTGTCGCCGACATCAACCGTAACATGGCTGAGAACTTGCGCTACTGCGGTCCTTCTCTGATTGCCAACGAGACCACTCTGCACAACGTCATCCAGATGGTCACCGACATCATCACGAAGAAGCACCCTTGCCAGCTCGAGTTTGGCCCCGAAGAGGAGTCTCTCGAGGCCGGTGAGGAGACTTCTGAGTTCGACTGGGTTGTTGTTGACACTGCCCTCGACGTTGTTTCCGGTCTCGCTGCCGCTCTGGGCGAGAGCTTCGCCGAGCTCTGGAAGGTGTTCGAGAAGACCATCCTGCGCTACGCCGGTAGCACTGAGGCTCTGGAGCGTGCCACCGCCGTTGGTGTCCTTGCCGAGTGCATCAACGGTATGGGCGCTGGTGTCACTCAGTTCACTCGTCCTTTCCTGAAGCTGCTCATCCACCGCCTGGGTGATGAGGATCCTCAGACCAAGTCCAATGCTGCTTATGCCGTTGGCCGTCTTGTCGAGCACTCCACCGCAGACGCCGAGATCGTCAAGGAGTATCCTACCATCCTTTCCCGGTTGGAGTCGTGTCTGCAGTTGAAGGTCTCTCGCCTTCAGGACAACGCTACTGGCTGTCTCAGCCGGATGATCCTCAAGCACCGTGAGGCCATCCCTCTCAAGGAGGTTCTCCCCGTCCTCGTCTCCATCCTCCCCCTGAAGAACGATTACGAGGAGAACGAGCCCCTGTACCGCATGATCTGCCAGCTGTGTATGTGATCCCACCTTATTCGGAACGAGCAAGAACGTTACTGACTAGCTTGTAGACAAGTGGGAAGACCCTAACATCCGGGAGCTCACCCCGCAGTTCCTGCCCATCTTCCAGTCTGTCCTTTGTGGCGATTCGGACCAGCTTGAGGACGAGCGCCGTGCCGAGCTCATCGAGCTCGTCAAGTGGCTGAACCAGATGCAGCCCGGCGTTGCCCCCTGGGTTGAGCAGCTGTAATCACCTTGCACGACATCTGAATATTAACGGCTTGATGACTTCACAACGAAACATACCGAATACCTAATGAATAGAGCCTACGCCACAAAAGCAGGACATTATGGATGACTTAGACGATACCCCGGAGCACAATGAGGGTTCGCGCCCTCATTGTTTCCAAATGATGAGACCTTGAGCAGGAAAGAAAATCATTTAGACACTATGGTTTGGGTACGTGCGATGATTTATGAACTGGAAAGAAAAAAAGTTTGTCTGTAAATATCGTTGGACTTGAAGATCTATCCCTGGTCAGAGGACTATTTACCTCGCCATCATTATTCTTGATTTATCCGTGTAGACCATCTGGTAGAACCCTCATCTGAATCGTATGTCCTTCGTCCTTTGCACCAGTGTGCCAATGACGTGTGTGGAAGGGCAGAATAAGGTAGCGATCTGCAAGATGAAGAAGGCCGTCAACAAGTGACACGATCGGGTGCTGGACCATGCGCAGAGCTACTTCGATGGTTCGACCTGGTTCTACGCATGGAGGTTGGTTATCTCAACGGTCGGTAAGGTAGTGACGAATCGTTGGTCGGGCCTGTTGCTTGGGAATCATTGGGTTGATAGACAGAGTTAATTACTCCTTTGGAGTTCGGAGTAATGTTCATCTGATTGAATCTTTCTTAATTTGGTGCCAGAATTTAGCTGCCTGTCAGTAGTTACTATTTATTCCTGACTTCTCCAACTTCAGACCGACTCTTAGGCATTGTCACGATTCTGATCTCACCTCCCTCCCTCTCTTCAGCCTAACTGTGACAATAACAACAGTAAGCGAATCTGAATCCTATCTACATTGTGAAATTTGCTTCTGTGATCATCAACAGCGGCGCTCATTTTTACTGACTTTACTGGCGACGTCATAGCACTCTACTCCATCCACCGCAAAATGGCCGCCTCGTCCTTCTCCTCACCCATCAACTGGACCCTTCCGTCCTCAGCCTCCGGGTCGTCCATCAAGAAACCCATCAAGACCGTCTCGAAACCGTGCTTTGGATGTGACTGTGGGGATGAAGAGTGCGATTGCTGCATTTGCACGGTGATGTAGATGTATAGTATCCTTTGGATCAGTTTTGGATGATGGATGCTTGCTGATGGCAGACAGGATTTGGCCTACGGTCATTATGACAACTTACGGAGAAGCGCGTTTTGATTCTCTACCTTTATGATATCCTGGTTTGAGGGTTTGGTTTGGTGGTAAAGTTGAGTTCTCTGGTTCGATATCGGACTATGGTGTAATCAGAGAAGTTAGGGGTTCTCATACCTTGTTAACAACCCTATATATTCCTGCTTTATTTATCTCTTGGGGAATGGTAGGTTGTAGTTGAATGACATGATATGATACTTGAACGGCTGGTCTTGGTTAAGATATATTCCGCACTTATCATCATTTTGGGTGCGGAGGATCGGTCAACTATGTCCAGATAACGATAGATGTCTATAACTGAACTGTTTTTTTGCAATTCCCGTTCGATTGCCCGATACGGGTGCCGCCGCTTTTATGAGGGCTGCGCGTGAGGCCGCCCTGAGCACTCCGGGCACTCATTGAACACTCACTGAGCACACACTGAGCACGCACCAACCTCTCTGGCAGCTCCTGGATTACTCACTGATCCTGTCAACATGCTACCTGAGTAATCCAGGCAGGTTACAGGTCAGGTGGACCTTGAAAAAGATGAGGTGGACGCCCCACCTGTCTTGGCACTCCCAACCTCCCAGGTCAACATTTAAATACTGTAATGCATACCATGAAATTCGTTTTCAATTTCTCCTCCGCAATTATCTGCACATTGATTTAAACTCAAAACCACTTATTAACTGATTAGTTACTGCGTCTGTATTGATAATATGGATTCAGAGGCTCTCTCAATGAACTGTGGTGAAATAGATGATGTCTCCTTGAACGAAGAGGAGAATGAAGAGGTAAGAATCAGAACTGCTTTTCAAGTACTTACTAACTGATTTTCAACAACCTAGGCCCAGCCAAGCTGCTTTACTCAGTTAACAGACGCAAAAACTCATCCACTTCAAACACTGTATATTGAATACACAAATAATTTGCCAGAGTATCCAAGGACAGATCCGAATGGATATACCTATGTTATTCCAGTGAATAACTACTCTCAAGAAGAAGCAGAGCAATTAGTCAAAGACGTAAGTACTTATCAAGTGCTTGCAAATCTCTTACTAACCAATTCAAAGATTCAATATTCTCGAGCGAGTGTCCAAGGTGCAAGAAAGAATATTAAATCATCCTTTTTGAACTGCCCAGTTAAGAAATGGATATGGAAATGTTCTGGAGCTCTAGTATGTGAATATCTAAAACCAGATCTACGCCTGCTGCACCATACTTTTTTAGATGAGGCAACATGGCAGGAAATCAAAGATATACAAGAGAATATCAACCCAATTGAACAAGATATTCGCAAGCGGAATGCGTATAGGTAAGCACTTATTGAGTACTTACTAGCTACTTACTCACTTTCTAAAACCTATAGTCTGTATTGTTCAAAAAAAATTTTCTTCGAGAGACAAAAGGCATGCCTTGAACAACTTCCAACCTGCGCGCCAAAGTTCAAGAGGCATTTCTATCCTGTAAGTAATATACAACTACTTAGTAACTAATTCAAAATTCTTTTCTAACTACTTCAAATAGGATGTGAACAATGAATACCATCCGTACATTGGATGTGTAAATGAATCACCAAACTTTCTTTCAAAGCATTATCATAGCTCTGTTAAAGGTCATACTACTATTGATCTTGACTTTCTGGAACGATTATTTAATGATTCAATTCTACCATCTCGAGAGGATTGTGGTGTGATTAAGCCACTAACATCAAGACGAAAGTATTGTGGTGAGTGATTCTAAACTGATTGTTTACTGGTTAATAACCAGTTACTAACTAGTTATAGATTATGATCATATACAAGGCCCTGGTAAACTACAACATCTAAAGTGCGGTGTTATTTTTACTGCACTAGTGCCAGTTAATATCCAGGCAGCTCCTTATATTTTATTTACTTCGCATGGTATTCATCAACATCCTCCACCTCCACCTCATAAGCCACCAGAGCTTATACTACGAGGCATTCAAGACATAATCAGGAGAATGAGAAACCCAAGCTTGACACTGGGTAAGACTAAACTAATTCTAAGCCAATTATCAATCGCTTTGAAAACAATTTCTAACTAATGTTAAGCTCAATTTCTTCGCAGTCCTGAGCTAGAAGCTTTTTGTCAAGAATATGGTGTACTCACACCAGCTGAAGTACATTCAGCTTTCACAAATACAGACCGCATTTCTGCAATTATTCAAAAGCAGCGTCTTCTTTCATATCCAGCAGGACAAAACTTTAACGGGGTTATTTACTTGTATAATACCCATCCTTTCATAAAGGTAAGGTGGTTTTGAACCACTTAGCAACTACTTATTAACTGGTTCTAGGACTACATCCAGGAAAAGTATCATGATCCTCATGGGATAATGATTCTGTGTGCTTTCAAAGAGCAGATACAGGTCTTGAGGAAGTTGACTTCTTTTAAAGTTGACATGTCGTACAAGCGGATTCGAGAAAAAGGAATGAATGAAGTTGTCTTTGCGACATATCTTCATTCACATGGGAAGAGTAAGTCTTCATAATTTCCCATGTACTTTACAGGTAGTTATAAAATATTTATCAAGCACTCACTAACTGGTTTATAACTGATCCTAGTTATCACACTCCTTCAAGTTTTTACCAACCAAGAAACAACAGAAGGTTATTACCTTCTATTTAAAAGAGCCTTTACTCTAATTCAGAAGGCAACTGGTCAGTCTGTTAAATTCCATTCTCTTCATTCCTCTGGGATCTATGGGATTGTTGTTGATATGGATTCAAAACAATATACTGGTAGGTGATTATTCATTAACTGCTTGAGAAGTACTTCATAACTAACTAGTTAAGGTCTTGGACAGTACCTTCAAGAGATCGACCCTCAACATCATCCAATACTATGGCAACTCAAAGGGATTATTGTATTCTGCCAAGTCCACTTTTTCCGGACAATTACTGAAGCTGTTGGGAGTGTTGCTCGAGGTACAGGAGTTTGGAGCCGTATGGCTAATTTAATTGATTGCAGGTCTGAAGAGGACTATGACCAACTATGCAATCTTCTAGCTGGTAAGTGGTTGATAACTGGTTTTAAAACACTTTCTAACTAGTTGTTAGAACATGAAGACTCAAAAGTCAAGGCCTGGGCTGATCACAAAAAGCAACCGATCATTAAAGCTGGGCTAAATAAAAATTGCTCTAACATTCCGGCTTTCATTTATGATTCTATTCGAAATAATACTAATTCTGCTGAACAATCTCACCATAAAGCAAATGCCACAGGGAAACGCCTGACACTGACTAGAGCAATCCAAAAGTAAGTGCTTACTGTCTTTTAACTGGTTAACAAGCAATTGAAAACCAGTTGATCCAAAACGAGTCCTAACCACCTTATAGTTCTGCGAAACTTGATAAGCAGGATATCAGTCAATACATTAATCGTATTGATTTCGGTATTCACCATTCATATCGCACAGCTAATATGGAGACCAATTACTTGAGGCATATGTCTCGTGAAGGTATATATCTCTATATGTACATTCCCTGATTATATATAAGTAGTTACTAACCACTTATAAACCAAGCAGAATCTCAAAAACGCCGCTGCTCATCCTCAACACGCTTATCTTCACCTCAGTTAGAAGTTCCTCAACGATCTCAATCACAGTCTCGCCAGTATGTGCACTCATAATCGCTTTATAACTGATTACTGACTACTTAGATCTGTTTCTTCTTCCCAAAGCCTGCATCATGTTGCGTCAAGGAATGCGCTATCTTTTGAGCAACAACGGCAAGCTCTCGAAATAAGGGAGATTGAACTTCGGCTCAAAAGAGAAGAGAATGAGCTTAAAAAGGTAGAAATCGAAATTAAAAAAGGTGAGGAAGAAGTCCGGGATATGCAGCTAAAGAATGAAGAGAAGGAGTTAGAACTTATGGAAAGACGGGAAAGACTCCGGCAAATGACAAGTGAGATATAGGAATTGCTTCTTAACTACTCTATAACTGCTTATAGCCCTTGCTGTTGTATGTCTTGTTCTTGTATAATATAAACTGGTTAAGAACTGGTTTAAAATCGATTGCGGGTATATTATAAGTGTATGGAGTATGAAAGGAAATTTTGGTTCGTAATAAAAACAGGCGTGGTATGGGTAAGGTATGCTGTTACTTTGATACATGGTTAGTTACAGTCCACCTTGGCAACGGGACGCGTCCAGGTGACCTGTGTACTCGTAATCCAGGGCAGCTCAAGCTCCCATCCATGTAGTAAATCATGTGACTATTTTGTGCTCTCTAAACCGCATACATCCTAAAACTAGGGAGATCTATGAGATCCACCATCACTTCCATGAGGGCATCACAAAGGCCATGGGGGATTATGTCTTAGCCTGGTCTTTGTTCATCATAGTCTCACAACAGAATAAGTGGTAGGCTCTGATGGATCACAAGCAATCAAACCTAACGGAGGATTACCCTGTGTTTCCCTGGCCCCCCATGTTACGCAGGTATATAATGATATTTTCCCAAGCTTGCCAACGGGGGAATTTCAACTTTCTAGGTCCTCTGTTAATTATACTTTCACTGGCGCTGTCCCCTATATTCTGTTACCACTTTTATTTCCGTTTTAGTCTTCCAATATGGCCGGCGTTTCTGATGCTCGGAAGGCTGCCTGAAAGGCTGCCTGTAAAGTAAGAAGATGAGAGCAGTGCCATCAACTTCGTGAGCAGCGAGGTTATGATCTAAATACCTATTTAGAGAAGGATGCTTAACAGAGCTGGAGTAGAGCATCTCTAGTAATGAAAGAGGATTATAGTAAATGGGTGCGCATGTATGAGGAGTGAGTATCTATGCTCTATTATATTAGAACTACATAAGCTTAAATAAGCTTGATAGTTTCCTAGTTGCATAGAAGGGAATGCCTGAGGGCTATAAAGTTAGCAAGGAACATCTAGTCCCAACGCTCCAGGAGCTTAAGCAACTATTCTGATGGTACATCAATTCTACAAAGGGCACCTCGACCCCCAAGGACGGCCTACCATGAAGATGACTCTTATCTGAGCCCAAGAATTCGTTCCTGGGTTTGCCCTTGAAACCAGAAAGTGCATCCCTAAATAGGATGCCTCTGAGCTTTACCACATGAGCTAACCTTCCCATGATGAATGCAGTGTCATCTGACTTTAGCAGTGGATTAAGAAAGATTTAGTGGTAGATAAGGTTATTAAAGTAATTGAGAAGCCTAAATATAATGTTAACCCTGGTGATTTTGAACATGGGATGAGGACTCATTGGGCAGATGATGACCTAATTTTCATGTCTGGGAGGTTTTGGGTATAATTCCATTTCGCTACTCTCCTGTACTTTTGCACAGGTGCAAGGGTAGCTGTGCTTTGCCCTAAGTTCAAGGACAAAGCTGAACAAGGCCTGTGTTATAAGGTAAGGGTGCTTTATATCTACAGCTTCGTGTTAAATGCTCACATGTATAGCATATTTAACTTATCCTGTTTTGTACTGTCAGTGCTCCTTAGAAGATTAGATATCAACTTGATTAGCACTGGGTAAAGAACAACATAGACCCTAATAATAAAGTGTATGTTAAGTTAGACCATCTATTCTTTCTTTATTTGATATTTTAGAAGCTGACTGTTAGATCCTCAGACTTAGTGCTGCAATATGGGACTGTGATGAGCCCATTTATGCTAGAGCACTTTTTCTGCTCACTCTTACTATCACTGATGGTGCTCTCTCAGGCTATTCATCTGCCGCGGATTTCTTTGAGTAAGTGATCCCAGCTGGGCTTAATCAGCTTCTACTCAGGTGGAATAAGGAGGCTTTAAATTAGTGCATTATTAGATACACAACAGTGAAAGGAGTCAGCGAGGATCCACTGTTAAAGGAATAATACCAGGGAGCTTTCCACCAGATTCTCCGGAAAATCTATCTTAATACTCCCACCATTCACGATTACCGCCGCCATCTAGCAGAATCCGTCAAGGGTTTGTTATTGATCCTGGCCCTTATTACACCAATGGAAAATAGTAACAAATAGTTTAAGCAGAGAAATATACACTACAGAGTACTTCTCAGCTTCTCGGACATAAGTCCACGTCTATAACAGCTAAAAGTTATGTTGCTTCCCTTTGTGGTGTTAATAGGCTCAATACCGCCAGGGGCAAGGAGACAGATCATACTCACATTGAATATTTCTAGGGCTACAAGCAATTCTATAAACAAGGCCTTCCTCACAAGTTGCCAATACAGAAGGAACTTGAACTTAAGTTGGATGCTCTGCTTGTTAAAATAAGGGCTGAGATTAATAATGCAGGGACCGCTGGTGATCATGAACACTTAAACACTGAGTATCGGGCCCAGAGAAAAAGAATCTATGCACGCGAGTTAGAACGGTTCCGAAAGGAATGGGCTTAAGAGCGGTGGGATCAGATCATATTAATAAGGGGAAAAGAGTGTCCAATATACAGGGAGCAAACCGCAGAGAAAAGGACTTGGTGTGAGGTTATGCCTGAGCTGGGCCGTCTGGTGAAAGTTATATCTTCTGATAAACCTCTTGAGTTTGAGTTGAAAAGGTTAGTTGTGGAAGACTTGGTAATCCATTGCCAACGGGACTATGACGTGGTGTATCTTCCTAGATGGGAGCCTGTTGAAAGGCGATGCCCTGCTCATGGATGTAGTCAAGTTATGGAAGAGTAAGCCTCGCCTGTCATTTCTGCGTGGACTTATGACTGACCTATTGAAGTCTGAAGAGACCTAAAAGAAGCAGCCATATTCATTCCTGTATTTGAGGGGAGAAATCCCGTATAATGGGTATTCCTCTTCTGTGGGTGAAGTATTGTTGGGAGTGCTTTTCCTTTCATGATGCTGAGAGCCCTGATTTCGAGAAGCATTGTGCAAACCACCTCTAATCAATGACCATCCAGCATTACGAAGTGATGGTATTTCATAATACCACTATCTGTGCTGGATACTGTATTGAATGTCTGTGGGATGACAAAAAAGATGCTGTGACCAGGATGAGGACCTTTAATAGAAGCATAGACCTGAGAAATCACCTGGAAGAGCATATTAAGCGTAGGCTGTGGCCTTCAAAGTGCTCTAGCTGCAGCTACATCTCTACTAATCAACAGGATTACTGGGGACATCTTCATGATGTACACCATTACAACAAGGCTATTTGCGTGCCATCTGAGAAAGCCCATAGGAAGCGACCTTCCTCTGAGATAGATGAGGGATGTATTAGAGATCGGAACCCACCTAAGCAGGAGAGGCGCCCCCGGAAGCAGCAGAAGAAGTCCTTGGCACCACCACACACTAGTCTAAAGGATCTGAAGATTATCCTCTGGGAACCTCCTATAAGACAATACCAGGCCATGTTTCCTCTTCCTGCTGAGGCGGCACATGAGAATGAAGAGTGCCTGATGGATCTGGCCTACCAAGCAGTTAATCACTGTGAGCACTTTAACTAAATGCTTTGTATAAGTCCAGATGACAACAGTATCTGCTCAGCCTTATCTAATGTCATGAATGTCACTAATAGTCCTCGCCCCGCAGCAATTAGTTCGGTTCCTGATGTTACTGTAATCAACCCGCGGGTCCTGGATATATCTACCACTATCTTATCCTGGCCAGAAGAGAAGCACTAATGCCTTGATAAGTATGACCTTAGAGAGCAGTTGGTAAGCAGCTCTTTGGCAGAGAGGCCTGGGATTAATCTCCCATCTCAGATGTTGTGCGCAGGCCCAGCCCTGGACAGTACTGAACCCCAAGGCGACACTATCCCCAAGACCGGTAACACGCTCATTTTTCCCACATTGTCACCTCAAAATCCACTGAGAAAAGAGTCGGTGCAATGATTAATGAGAGATAAATTGTCAGCGGTTGCAGAACTGCCTATGATCACCCAAAACTTGTCTGACGTGTACACAAGCGGAAGTGAGATAGAGCCAGGTCTAGTGTCAGGTGGGCTGTTAATGCGAGCCAAAGCAAGAGCTTACGCAGCAAAGATTCATGAGCAGTCTATAAGTACCTAAATCTTGGCTTGGAAGGCTAGACCTTACAGCCAGAAAGAGGACCAGTTACTGAAAGTCTTAATGCGGAATGCAGGGCGTGTTGAAGAGATAGCGCATGCCTTTCAGAGGCATTTTCCGGACCGATCCACAGCTTCTCTTAGGAAACATTGGTTGCAAATTTAGCCGCGAGTATAGTGGTCAATAAGGTCAAGACCGCTTAGACATGTATCATAAGCGTTGCTAGGCTTGTATACAGGTTACTTTAGTATATCATATCCTCATTATTATACAGAGGTTAATTTTGCTTATATCCAAAACTTTTTACTTCCAAGGGAGTTTGATATCATATCATCTAATAATACTTCCAGATATAGTAATGCATAAACATGCTACAGAATCTCTTGTCTCTCCTAATCTAAGTGGCGCGCCAGACGCATGCGTAGTATCAACTGTTAGAAAGTCGAAAGTAATTACTTCTGTAAGAGTTATGCATATTTTGTGCCAACAGAGTAGGGCAAGAAAGAATAGATGCGCGGGCAGTAGCAGGCCTAGTGGTAATTGTGACTTATTGCTGGATAGCTGTTTCCCCTTTACATTCAAATACATTACCTTACAAACCAGTCTCCGACGATACGTTCCTCCGCACCGCCACATAACATACCTGACAAAATGAGACGACCTGTTGGTAATATAACATTGGTAAGCTGTTGTCACATAGATGTTACCATGATGTCATGCCATGTAGTTATTGACCGTGTCTCTTTTGCCTATCTGAACCCTTGTCACTAGTTTGCCTACACTTTCATTCCAGCGTGACCCATCTACGCCTTGACATATTCCACCGGTCGAGCGTTTTTCTATTGGTGGTGGATGGCCGATCTCTCATCAGATCCTCCCTAGCCTGAGAGAGACTGTTTTCACACTTCTTTGAAGTCTGTATTTCTCTTCATTCAATTTCTGCCTTCCATAACTGTCTTATAATCTGTCAATGCCACTGGCACAAGCTCTTAATACCTGTAGTACGCTTATAACATTCTACTAGAGCTTCTTAATAACAGTTTCTTATTATATTATCAATGACATGAAAACATCTCGCCGCTGACTTTGATGCGATAGAAAGACTCTCCCCACTAACCTACTTTTCTAGATATTAACAAGCACAGTTAACACAACATGTTAAGAACAGCCGTTCTACAAGCAAAGAGTGATGCGAAATATCGCCCACCTGCGAAAAGATACTGGCTAGTAAACGAACTGCTCGAGCTCTCCACACCGCCGGCAAAATCCTGCTGGAGCTCATCGTCGTGTTACAGTACTATACAATAGTGGCAACCGTTATTGCCTTCCATGTTGGGAAACATATAGTCTTTCAAACCCTAATCACATGATACGCTAATCCAAATATGGTTATCTCCGTATTCAAATCTCTGTTCCGAATCTAAATTGTAATAATGTAAAACATAAAAAATATGAGTAGGCTGTATAGTCATGTATTGTTACAGATCCAAAAATAACCTTGCCCACCTTGTTGTTTTCCCTCCCCCCAAAACTCATCCTAACTCAAGAACCAACAAACATGCCAACCCCTTGCAAAATGGCATGAAATATCAATCCTTGGCAGCATACGATCATTGTCCATATAATACTCAGCAGAAACAGATTCACCACATCACATATAGCCCAAGGTCGCGAGGTGTAGTGAGCTTTCTGTCACTAATATACGCAAGAACATAACCCACGTCAGCACAGCCATCTAGAAGCTCCGCTGATGAAGGGATGCCAATCAACGGAACCCGGCTCTCCACAGCCTCCTTCCCCAGCCAAAAAAAAGAATGCATCTGCCCAACACACAGCCAAAGGCCATCGGCAGTCCAAATTTGAACCATGTTAATGGTTTCAAGAGGGCAGCACCCGGCACGACTATCGCATTTTCAGCTCTGTCGACGGCCGACTTGGACTCGTCTCTCCTGGAATGGGTAAATGCATCAACGGCCTCCAAAATGATTTCCGCCGTCAATCCAGGTTGACTCAGGAAAGGCGAATGGCTCGTTTGCAGCTCTCGATGCTCCACACTAGCCCCCATTCCTCTCGCCATACCAACTGACATCCGCTGAGCCAGCACTGGTATTCCCCGATCCTCCACAGTCCCAATGTACCATGACGGCACGTCTTTCCACCCGGCATAAGTGTACTCGCCGCCTTCGAACAACGCCTTCAGACTCTGACTCGTAAGCTGAGAAACCCAGTATTTTGCCTCTTCCTCTGGCAGGTCGTGGTAAAACAGTTCCCGTGGGGAAGTGACAAGCTCAGCGTAGCCGGTCTTGTTATTCACACGCCAAGCAGGCGGCGGACGACCAAAAAATGGATCCATGAAGGACAGCCCAGTCAAGGTGAAGCCAGAGGCTATGAGAATTAGTCCAATTACGTATCCCGATCGACTGTCATCAGCGTCCTTTGGCTTTGTGAAGCCTTTGATAGCGCTGTTGCCCACCAAGCCGCCATATGAGTGCGCAATGACAACGACATTGCGCCCGTTACTTGTCTCAGCGGAAATCGCATCGCGGGCTGCACCGAGATCATCTTTGAAGGTCGCTTCGGGATCATATGCTGTCGAGGGAAGAGACACTGCGACGCATCTCAAATTGGGCTCCAGGAGCTTAATGATCGGGTCGTAGCATGTGGGTCTATGCCAGGACCCTGGTATGAAGATAAGGGTCGGTCGACTCGACATGACAATGGTTTGCGAGTTCAATATGTTTTAATAGCCTGTGGATTGATGCAAGAATGCGATGAGTTTGATCATGTAGAAGGTTGAAAAGACGTAACTCACCAAGTTGGGGTAGTGCAGGGTGTGTGTGTGTCTGTATTTTACGGCCGTGGCTCATGACTTGCACGTTTTCCACTATCCCTGATCAGGGCAAAGGCCGCCAGGGGGTGAGCCCTGGGTGTCTCTAACTATTGCTAGTTCTATGTACAAACAAGAGACTTTGGCGCGTTCACATAGCTGCCTCAGTCATGGGGAAGGTCTGCTATAGCAGGTTAAGTTGCAATGCCAGCTGCATGGACCCATCTCCGCACCATGATCCGCCAATTCTCCGCGTCTCTGCTTTCCCTTTTTTTTTTTTTTTTTTTTTTAAAAAAAAAAAATGGATGTATTGTCTCAGGCGTGCTCATGCAGGGGCCGCCTTGGACAGATGTCATCAAAGAACCGAGTCTGCAATAGCCACGCAGCCAGCTTTGCTGCACCTTTTGGAGTTCCCAGAAAGTTCCGATGAACAAAATCAGGTGGAGTCCGACGGGCAGGTCTTAACACGTGACTGTGAGCTTCCATTCAATTGTACTATGTATAGCAGATATATCTCGGAGGCTGCTCATCGTACTCGCCACCTTCCCATTCAGCCAATAGGAGAAAATCGAATTGATCCGGCTTTGACTGGTCTGTGGCACGGTATGCAAGCAACTTCAGACCATTGTAGACGAAGGAGGGCCTGCCAGCGAATTTGTAGCGCTAATTACAAATGGAGGATCTTCTCAAATTCTACTGCGTGCGGATAATTCCAAGGATGGACAATCAGTAGACACAAAATTATGTCTACAACGTCAACTGGATGCTCAATTCCAGCATTGTTTGGCAGCATATCCTGGTGTAGTTATTGAGGTCTCATATTCACAGAACGCAAACCTGAGGAAGTTGGCCTTGGATTATATCATGAATTCAAACAGAAATATCAAGGTCATTATTGGCATAGATATCAAATATGACAGGAAAGAGTCTACAGTATCCTTCTGGCATCCAGCTTATGTGCAGGAAGAGGGCGAGGAATTTGATGTCCTGGAAGTTGACTAAGTCATTAAAGCTGAGGTAAGAGGTCATCTGCCCTACCAGAAGGATTGCGCTAGAATTTACTAGGTATTCTGAACGCAAGATGGTCGCCCCGCAAATCAACTTAGGTGTGTCCGTCTCAACCTCGGTGATTTTGCTCCCGGTGGATATGAGATGAAAGAGCTATCGATAAGCTATGAAACTCTTACCACTCTTCTGAACCGTGCGGAGCAGATTCACCAAGCACAAGAGTTAGCTGCCGGCCTACCTGGCATCGTGTCGACGCGCTAGGTCAAGAAACGGAAGTCACGATCATCATCTCTGGCTGAGCAATTGAGGTCCGACGATGAAGCAAAGCGTCGCCGCCAGGAAGCACACGCGGAGGAACGTACTGCTGCATCCGACAAGGATTATAAACCGCCCTCATCCAGACGAAGGGGAGCTGGCAAACCTTAAGACATATCCTTTGTTTAAGGCGTCGATTTCATGTCTTCCCTTGGTACCAGTAAACACATCTGGTTGAGGCAAGTGGCCGAAAAACATCGGGCACCCACAACGATGCCTTGTCATACTACTTCATTGTCAGTCCGAGCAATGAGGGAGCGTCGACCGTCTTCATGCGGATGCCGTCGTATACCCAGTGTCTAGTTTGTTTCGGTCTGTTTTGACCATCGTCTTCGAGAACCCAATATGTCGCTGCCCAAAGCCAGCAGGACGTCAGCGCCCCGGGATGCTATGAAGACCTGCATAAATAGCTTCAGACGAGCCTTTCCGTCTCATTACACATGACCGTTATTATATGGGTAGTATTCTGAAGATGACGCCCTCCCACTCCCGCAGTAGCGGCGACCGAAGACTGCCGGATTTCAAGGATATGGGCTTATACCTGATGCCTGTTGGGGTGCAGCATCACGAAGATTCGCAGGAAGTGAAGCTCAGCGGTTCGAGAATGAGCATGGTAGGTTCCCTAAAGAACCAAAGGAGTGATTAATTGAAAATCTGGAAGCGACACTTATCATCGCTCAGTAGGCCTTGCATTAGTGGAACTGATTTCGGCACAAACTGTACCACGAGTCTTGTTAATTTGGCGCATTTCTGTGGGGCGTCCGTTTACGAATACCACGCTTCTCAACTTTGTAGAGCAGCATTGCATTTAGCCGGGAAGTCAGCTGCCAGTTTCGACGGATCATACTTGTTTACCCTCATTGCATTGATCGAGACATTTGAAAGCAATATGCACATCTGCCAGTCCATATAGCTTCAGGAAACGTCCGAACTTCTGCAGCTATTACCCGTTTTGAGCATCAACTCTTTCCTCTTGATCGTCTCAAATTATGTCTCCTTCTAGGCAACTTCTTCAGTGCCGGGTCTTATATGTACAGAATTCTGCAGGAAACGGTGCCCAGGTGCTATACTCTTTTCTTTCTTAATGGAGACTCTGTACCATAAATAGCACCAATTGCACCAAACCACAATAAATTCATAATAGATTGCCAAGCTTTACCTATTTACGGTACAGGGTCTCCACTAAGAAGAAGCAAGAGTATAGCACAGTATGTCATACTGATTGATTTCTGGTAAGCGCTGGATAATGTACTGTAGTTGGTGGGCACTGTAAATCACTGTCTCGTACCTTGGGTGGGCTTAAGCGAGACGGAAAAGATTTTGTGCTTACAAATCTTACAATGTACATGTTAATGGACACTATTGGAACATTTTTCCTTTACCAGTCCCCAAGTAGCAATGTCTCCCTCTCGGTGGAAGCTCCCTTCCGATAGATCATACAGAAGCGTTTTCAGACGGGGTACTTTCCTGGCGCAGTTGCTGAATCTTTTCTTCTAGCTCCCGGATTCGTCGGTGGGCTCCCTCCAAGGATGTCTGTTGCATTATAATCTGCACCTGATGAGCGAGATGGGCTATCTTTTGCTGAACCAGTGGTGGGACTTCTTGCTGAACTAGCTGCTGAACTAGCTGCTGAACAGGTTGCTGAAATTGCAGTATGACCTGATGCACCTCCTGCAGCATTTCTTGCCTCCGCTGTTCCTCCAGTTGCTGCTGAACCGGCTCCAAAGATATATGGGCTGCTTGTCGTACCTCTTCTTTGACTTTCATGTGTATTGTTTTCCGGACCGCTTGTTGCTCTCCCTTGAATTTCGCCTGCATCTCTTGCTGAGCTGCTTGTAGCTCTTCCTTAACTTTCTCCTGCACCGTTTGGTGGAATTCCTGCCGCAGTCCTTGCATAATTTGTTGTTTAAGACTTTCAATCATGTGTTGCTGTTGCAGTTGGGCGCCTTGGTGATCTAGATGTTGCATTGGGTTCACCTCCCGTGGCTGGATCACTGGAATAGCTGCGTGGTGCTGCTGCAGCTGTTGTGGTATCCGGACATTGATGGGATTGGCATGCTGTTGGTGTGTTGTGGGCACCAATCCAGCTGGCGACCATGTCACGGCACTCGGTACAGTGACGAAATAGTTTTGTGCGCCTTGTTGTTTTAAGGGAGGTTGGCCGGAAGACTACATCGTGATATAAATTACTGAGGTCAAAGCTTATCGAGGTAGGGACACATCTAATTTCAGCGTGGGTAGCCAGTGCGGGTTTGTGAGCTGCCCAAGTTTTTCCGAGACCACGGATCCGAAAATGTGAGGTCCTGAAGAGACGCAGAGACTGTAAAGATAATTATTAGGCTGTAGGCTAAACCGGATCTAGGAAGCTCTCATCCATTTCCCTTCCTTATCTCTGTCCACCCTTTCGGGCAGGCTCACATGTTTCTTTATCCGCGTAACCGTCGATTCGTTCAACAAAATGCGACGGCAGCAGGTTTCAGAGTTAAGAATTGTTTTCTAGGTAAGTGAAATGGGCAGAGTTTCCCCGGATATGATACGACGGAAGAGGGGTCCTTCCGGTGATAGGGACTTGGGGGTCTGAAGAGATGGCGAACAACGATTATCTATCCTAGTCGTTAAAGCCCGAAGGATACGTCCATGGCTAACTCTTCTTTCTTTTGGATAGTGGGCGATTTCAGTATGACGGCGAAGATAATCAAGTGCAACGGAGGAGTATCTATTCGGTACCATCAGAAGGCCAATGTCATAAGAACAAACCCAATTAGTTAAGCACCTTACCTGTCTCGTCCACATCATTATTTATAATCCGAGTTTACCTCTGAGATTCTCCGCTATTGTACACTGAAACTGGAGTAAAGGTCGTCTGGCAACATTTTTCTCGGATCTTGACATTTCCAAACCACCAACTTGTCGCATTGGTCATCATACCTGATAACGGCCTTGGCACCACTTTCCTTGACCACGGAGATAATAGTTTTTATCAATATAACCAATTTTGCGAGATCCATCTGGTGGTCTGTCTCCCATTTTTTAAGTTCAAGACTGACATCTTCAACCTCTGGTCGCTCAAACAAACCATTCCGGTGGTAGGCACGGACAAGATTCGGAGTCTGAGATACCCACAACTGCGGAAGAACTTTGTCAATTTCAATACGTCTCTTGGAGGGGCGTGTTTTGATCTCGAGGGTTGAGTCAATCGGTATGACTTGGCCTCCTTTTATGATCCTCAAGGCTGACTTGTCCGAGGCCGCATAGGAAGGTTTTTGAGGAGAAAGAGATAGTAATTTCAGCATGCTGGATATGTCGTCGCTGTCTTGAATCGCTTTCCTACTGTCAGTCGATGCTGTCGATGCCTTTGAAGGTCTCGCAATGTATCCGTCTGTCTCGTAGCGCACCACCAGTTTCATACCACCGAGTCGGTAAGAAATAATCCTATGATGCCCCGTGCTTCCCTCCAGCTGGGCCGTCGTATACGCCTTCTCAAACTCATGCCCGAACCCCTTGTATTGGCGTGGTCCGATGACCTCGAACGTCGTTGTCTCCGCACGGCAGAATATAGTAGTATCGTTCGTGACCTCAACCTCAATAGTAAAGGGCTCCAATCCATTATTATCCAAGCTAGGGTTTACAAATGACAAGAGCTTGCGTATATTGTTTCGATCAGTCACGAGATCCACGGACTGGATATCGAACGTAGGGTGTGCGATATACAAGGCCCGAAACAAAGGTTCAAGCGGTCTTTCTGGGTGGCGGGCGGCGTTCTGGGCTATGTAGATGAGACCAGAGTCTTTCTTCACCTGCCTCTGCGCGGCCTGTGGCGGAGTCCATAGGGCAGGGCTACCGGGGACGGCGATTGTAGGTATAGAGGCTTCAATCTAGTTGTAGGAAGATAGATGTTTTACATCGGTGATTGATACTCTCGCGAAGAGATCTTTGGACTCTCGCGAAGAGATCTTCGGGATCTCTGCGAGAAATCTCGGCGATTTTGATAGAGGCCATATCTTAGTCGCCTAGTGACCTGTTAGCCGTCTAATGATGGAATGGAAGTTTTTTTAAGCGTGGGTGGAGCTACCAAACTCAATATAGGGTGACGAGCATAGTTCATTGAGCCATCATACGATGCTAAATCGGTGGAGTTTGTCTGATAATGCATGTATGCATTACACCATGCAAGTGAAGAGGCTTGCTGGGAACAGTGATGCACGATGTTGCACGTCGGACACTCAGAATGGTCGCTAACCATCACGTGGGGGTATTAAGCAGATCTAATTCGCGTACATACGACATTTTATGGACTTGAGGGGCAACATTACCCAGAAGAAGACAAGCTCGCCAGCGCATCTCTCATGATTCTCCGTTGACTGGGATACACGTACATGTTTGTGACGGGGGTGAACACGTAGTTTAGAGAAAAGCCAGGCTCTTTGAACAAATTCAACCTGGTAGCGTCGCACTGCTGTCTTTCGTGGCGGGGGTTGGAGAGAGTGTAAGCAGGAGTGCAAAATAATTGCTTGGTACTTGCCAATCTGTAATTCCATGGTGGCAGCTGTACATGCGAAGAGCTTGCAGCAAACAGTTTAATGCTCTCACATAGCGTGCCCAATCACAGCCGACCACGTTTACGGTACAGAGTTATTCATCCAACCTCCTCCCAGGATCAATATTGTCGTCTCCCATGATGTGATCAGTTTACCTGCCTTACCATGGTGCTGTTGTGCCTTCTAGATCATTGTCGTAGTACCTTCGCCAGAGCGTGTTTGATTTTCTGGCATGGCCAGGTTAAGCTCTCGAGCCAATGAGCGACTCAAGAGATGTTGCTGGCCCCGTGAGCTTCCTGTAAGGGAGGTCACACCGAGCGTCCTTTGTTAGTCGAACCATATCACATTGGCTATTGAATGCTCACCACGGTTCAATCGCCGCCCGGTGATCTAACACCCAGGGTAGAGTCTAAGCGGGCAACACGTGTATGCTGGAACGCTCAACATCGAAGTGTTCCGCTCAAGGTCAGACGAGCCACCATTCCGAGCGGAATGCATGTACGGTTGGATAGTACTAAACGGGGATTGTGCTTAATAAGTTTGGTGGAGTACGAGTTGCTGAATGAGGTTGTTCCTAGCAGTATCTCCAGCTTGCAACGATGTCACGGACAACGATTTCCTGAATGGATTGTCGAAGGAAAGGGTGATACTCTAGATCAGCAGCCCAGGTAGGACGATGCAGCCCGTGTCCCGAGGAGCGCGGAATACGTACTTTATTTCAACAAACCACTTACAGGTGCCTGGTTCTATCGCCACCCGCGAAGTGCCTTGCCTGATCGTCCCATTCGGGCATGGACTCTAATCCTGCTAATATATAATGGTTAATTCGACGATCCATTTGAACAGACTCAGATCAAGGGCTTTCTCGATAATAACACAGAACGAAAAATGCATCTCCAGGGTGGCTTTCATAGATCAAAAAGGTCCGGTGCAATTGGCATTCCTTCCAAGAGTTTGCCCATATGCGTCTGTAGGTAACCATGTCCCTTGCTTCGGATATCTAGAATCGCGCGCAAGAAAGGCAAAGGACAGGAGTGGAAGGGTGACTGTACTGGCCATCCGATCAACTGTCGGGTGTCTGGATCGATAAAGCCTTCATTGGTCACGCGGTTGTCCGAGACGTCCCTGTATTTGTTCGTAACCAATCCGAGAAAATGACGGAAGCTTTCATAAACTGAAAAATCTTCAAAATAGAGGCTGCCTGCGAAAAAGGCCCAGATCCTGAACGGTTTCCTCAGAACATCTACGGAAAATGTGACCTATGCCGACGGTCAGGAAGTCCAGTTGTTCAAAAGGACGCATGTCTTTGGTTGTTCTTGGAGTATAGATATGCAATTGTGTCTTTCGCGAGGCTCGTATCTCATGCATCAACTCATTGGCTTCATACTGACTTAGGAGAATTAGCCTAGAGTTGTAGGTGTTAGAAAGTATCCAGCGGACAGGCTTCAGGAATTCGTCGTTTGAAGTATTTTCTGTCTCCTCGACCGTCCGCATAAAGTCCTCCGTCGCGTGGAGGTTAGGCGCCAGCGATGATGGGATGTCGAACCGAGCTGCCAAGGTTTGATGAAAAGTCTCAAAAGCTGGCCGGATCGCAGGAGAACGCTCCATGGAGAGTCTCCCATTGGTCGCGAAGTAACGAACATCTTCATGCACCTGATGAGGTGACGGGAGAATACCAGGAGAGAAATCGTCAGCTGTGAGAGTTCTGCGGCGCTTTCACAAAAGAGTGCAACTAGATCATACAAAGACTTGTTAGGTTAGTCAGCACTTGGATAGGCCTACATTAGCATAAGTCCGCTTTAGATACAGGGCCCCTGACTTAGAAACAACACACAACAGATGATGAACACACAAGAAATCATCTCTTTTCATCTAGCGAATCTAACAAGACTCTTGAACGATGGTGCAGAGGCTGTGCCTCTACAAATAGCTGAGTCATTTGGTTTGAGCCGTCCGCATTCTCACAGAGGTCGGTAAACTGAACAAGCTGAACTAAGGTCATCAAGCCCACATTGCAGACTTTTCAGGGGTGATTACTAGGTTGAACTGTCTACTGATTCTCGGCCGCTCAGGAGTGGCTGAACATCGTAGTTGATACTAGGGCGGTCAGCAATGTTGAATTCTCATCACGTATACTCGACCATTGAATACACCAATGGTTGAGAACTTTTAAACGAGATAGGACTCCAGTTCGCCTCTCAGAAGTGCACTTCTTCAATTGACCCTTATTGGCCACCTATGCATTGCGGCGCAGGCACTTATCTCTGGACTTACCTATCAAAAATGAGTCCAAGCCCCAATTGCGTGATCCGTGTCTCGTTTGAATTGGTCTGGTCTTCTGACAGGGCCCTCTTCAACTTGAAAATCCCCAGACTTGGTGAACTCCAAAGCACGATTGCAGAGGCTAAGACACAGTTGTATGGATTTTGGTCCCTGCGCAGCAGCGTTTAACCAGGGGGCCTTTGCCTTCTTTGTCCTCGGGAAGCCATCCCGTCCTTCTTTTTCCCACTTGGAGTGAGATTCGCTAGCTACCGGCGGTTGTCACCTGAGGTGGACGAGGTGAAAGGCGTATAGATAAACAGGGAGAGTAGTCCTGAAGACGCTCGGTCAATGCTGTGAAAGCCTTGGAGTGTCTCCAAAGGTGCATAGGTGGTGGGGATCTACTTAGGTATATATATATTAAAAGACCAACTCTACGATGCACATAAGCTATTCTGAACGACGAATCAGGTTTCTATCGACCGAAGGATAAGAAGTAATCGTCAGGGATAAAAATGGTTAGAATGAGGATAACCTTAACCAGGGGCCAGCATACCGAACGCTTGTAGCCTCTTCATACATGCTGGTCCATGGCTTCATCAACGTAGGGCCTCTCCAATGGCTGAAGCGGACATGGCCCATAAGGGCCACCATACACAATATAGTTTGCCTCCATTCCTTTACTCAGGTGCGTAGTAAAGTGGCAAATCAACTGCCACCATCCAGGGTTGAATGCAGACATCAATACTGTTCTCATTTGTCCCGGGTTCAAGGTGACGGTGGCAGATGTGGTGTTGGAGACGGGATCGAAGATGTTGTCGCCATGCATATGGAAGACGTGGGTGTCGAAGCCCATGTCGTAAAGGTACCAGATCACATTGTCGAGCAAGCACATTTCGAAGGGCGGGTTGTTGGCGTAGATATAGCCGTTCAGCTGCGGATGTAGACATGTATCAGTGGTTGAATTTGCTTCACATGTCTGAAAACTTACAGGGAAGAAATTTGCCGCCATTGCAGGCGTCACATTAGTCGCTGGCGAATTGATAAACTGCGGATACCAAATGCTGTAATTCCCACGGCCATCGGTCACATTTGGATACTGGTAGGACAGGTTCGCGACCTGCACGCCGGGCAGGTACCTTTGGACGTTGTGCAGGGCAAGGAATGAATTCCACTCCTGGTTGTCGGTGTAGAGAAGGATAAATTCACGATTCTGCCGCATGACCCTCTCCATTTGCCCCCGATTGTAGATGATCACGGGCCCATAGGAACCAGCATCCTGGTCTTGATACATGCTGACATACGGATGGTAGGAGAATAGCCGGCTCTCGAGGCCGTGGTTCGGTGCGGAGCTGTCTGCAACGAGCCTGTAGGGATATTATTAGCCATCAGGTCTTCATCCATATCAGATATTTCCCGGAAAAGGGGGAAAAGGCACCATTTATACACAAAACACCATCCTGGAGGAACTGCGTCCCCTACATCAACGGCACTCGTCCCATTGTAGTATAGGCTACCTTCGGACACTTTGGTATAGTACAGCCCCATATTATGCATGCTCGAGAAGAATTCATCCATCTCGTTGACGAACAGGATCTGCCAATTTTTAGTATACAAAAGAAAATGTCTGTGAGTTGTGGATAACAACCTCGATCATATCACCGACTTCAGCGCGGATTATTGGTCCCTGAAACCCAAGCCAGGGAGGCTGCTCAGATCTCGTCTCGAATGTGGCATCTGTATATCCCCTGTATAGCGCCTTGTCGTATCTGGTTCCGATCGTCGTGCTATTGGCGATGTACCCAAAGGTCTGCGCACGGAAGGACTCGTTGAAGGGTACACCGAGCCAGTTGTCCCAGCCTACACATTCATGTTCTCGGTTAGTGTATATGGACGGATGTGCATTCAGATTCCATACCTGTTGGAGCATAATCCCAAGTCTCAACATCAACGGCGACATAGTATCGACGAACAGTACCGGAGAAGTGAAAATTTGGAGGAACATAGTACGGCAATTGCCCATTCAAGCGGGCTAAGCACTCCTCCGTGACTAAGGATTGACGAGTATTTACCATGGACGGCGCTGCAAGAGTGCCAGCAGCCACTGCGAGGAGGGAGAAGAGTATAGAATGCATCATAATGGTATTTCAGGAAGACGTTTCAGGGGGGGGTCTCCGGATTTAAAAGAAGTGTCCACAAATTGACAGCTACCATACACCAGGATGAATGCAGGATATAATATGCCAACTGTCAGTTATCATGGTAGAAGAAGGATGAAGGATGAAGGATGTAGAAAGATGAAAGGTCTGTTTTCCTGGGGATGAAGGACATTGACAATTGAAAAACATGTCAGGAAGGGGAGGCAACCACGGCGAGTGGTACTACTCTGGAAGCGACAGACAGACGGTCTGTCATGATTTCGGAATGATCAACTGCGTTGGAAAGAGGTTGTCGGACCAAAGGAGTTGATTCCTTGATACTCTACTCCTTGTACTCATAGTATATGCGCCAGCCTCATCTTAAGATATTCACAGTGCTAGGACAGACTAAGTAGGTTAAGTAGTGCTTATAAAAGCAGCAATAAGTGCAAAGATCCCAGCTAATAATCACAATCTAAATAGTAGTCTCACACTAGCCCCCAAAAGTCAGCTCTGCTCCATAATTAGACTACTCCATGCCCCTCAGTCCTGACTCCTCTGTACTTTCTTATTGCTGTCCCTCTTGTCCATTACGATATTATCCCCATCACTGCTATGGCCACATATCGGTACTGCATACCATGACTAACAACAAGAAACAAACAGCTAACACATTCCACAGGGAAGCCTGGAGTCTTTTTCAAGATGAACCTAACTTCCCCCCCAGGAGTAACAGGATAAGGACGATGACCACGGATCAGAACACAACTACTACGACATTATCTAAAGCTGAATTGATCTCGGAACTTCGCCGTCTTCGACGAGACTTGCAAGAGCTCCAGTCTGCCAGGTAAGGAATTCTCTTGCGAACATCGCAACGTCACTGATTCCTTTTTCTCAAGCAGTAATCCAAATCCAAATCCCCAAATAAGCGACCGGCCTGAGCCTTCTACCTCCACCACTCAACCAGATAATTCTGTCCCGCATCGAGATCATGGGTCTGAGAAGTCGGAAACAGCCCGCTGCTGGGAATCCTGCTGCAACGGCCGATTATTTTCCAATCGAAGTAACTTAATACGACATCAGCGAGAGCGAAGGGGAGAGTCAGCGAAGCTGCCGTGTTCCTTTTGCGATGCGGTTTTCTTGCGCAGCTCGGCCCGGAATGCGCATGAGGTCTTACTAAGCTCAGAGTAGTACTCGAGCTTGGATTGTACCTCTGGAGTGGGCCGCCCTGACGGAGGCTAGAATGTCCCCTGAAAATGAACAACTTGATTGTGCGAGAAGTCAGTTTTATCGCTCAATAGTCACCTGCTGCGCTTGGGGGTAAGGAGCCTTAAGTTCCTTTGTTTGGAGCTCGTATAGCTGATTCTATGATCGTCTTTGACAAAACGTAGAGATAATGGGAGTGCAGAAAAGGACTTCTGGTTCATCAATCCGTGTAGCTCCATATCTATGTGCTTGTTGGCCAAGCCTTGTGATAGGTACGACTGCTGCACGCTGAGGCGTTGGTACAGGCTGATGATGATACCTATTTCTTTGCCGCCCACACTCTTACCTACCAGGTGCTACACGCTCCTCGAACTAGACTACGAAGTCCCGCCCCTTTCATCATACTAGTGCCAAAGGATATATGGGAGAGCAAGCGTCAGCAATTACGCGACGGAAGCAACTCTCCTCGAAATCAACTAGATCGAGCACAATATCTCCATTTCCGAGCCCCGCTGGGTGCAAACAATTACAAAACGTGTGTTTGACCCGATAATTGTATGTACCCTATTCGACAGTCCTATATTTGGATGCAGATATTGTTCTTACACATCCGATTGATTCCATCTTCAGCGACCCGGGTAGGCAAAAAAAAGATAATCCGTTGAACTATGCCAAGGGAAATGTTTTAGCGCAGGATCAGCTTCAAGAGAAGTATACCATGGCCGTCTCACCTGAGTCTGGAAAGCTTGACCATCCATACCCCTATCTTGATACAGAACAGAGGAATCCATACTTCAACAGCGGCTTCTTCGTATATTCGCCTAGTACTGAAGACTTCGAGCACTACATATCCCTTTTAGAAGAATCAGAAAGACTTGGTACCACGGCTTTCCCGACCAAGATCTATTGAATTATACGCATTATTTGGAGGGCCAATGCCCTGACAGAAGTTACATTGCTCCGGGCATCTGAACTAGCCCAACGACAATGACTTGAATGGTGGGATGGCGGGTTTACATGCTAAATGGTGGAAGGGAGAATTTGTGTCGCCTTCGGTTAAGGAGTTCGCATTGTCCAGAAGATTGGAGATGGAGGGATACTGGATGGGTAGGGTTTACTGGTCTGGATGAACCGTGCTGCTTTCCTTATTGAATAGGCTACTAGAAATAAAGTCAATGTGCCACGATTGGCTCCATCGAGTTGAGTAATTATACTTGGTCAGCAATATAGTGCGGTTGGTGATCGCAGGCTTGTCAGTGAAGCCACAAACAACCAATAGGCAATGAAGAGGCTAACTAGTTTCCATTCACTGCTATAATACTAAACGGTGTCCCCGTGAGACTAGATAATGAGAAATTATAGGTGGACATAGAGAGTAGGTAATTCTTCCTCGGCTCAGTCGCATTTTACCCCGGCGCATTTAGAAAAAGGAGACATAGGAAAGGTATATAAGCAGCCCTTACGCCTTGACAAATGAGTATTCATGATCCCAACGCCTACTTTACATCCATGATCCCTCCCCTCCTCCTCTCCAAGTAAGACCAAGCAAGTAAGTGGTTGTTGAATAGTATGTAATAACGAGCTAACCTATAATAAATATACAATAACCCTGAATCATCTCATAAAGAGGTTCTTGATAGATCCGCCTCTAAAACAGCAGGAAACTCCCTCCAGAACTCAGCTCCTCCTAACCAGCAAGAAAATTTGGAGCCCTTGAATATGGGCTGTGTTAATGGGGAATCTTTAGCACTAGAGAAAGTCGGAGATTGGGGAGCTGAATTTAAGAGGTTTTATGTTAACCCTGAATTTGTATGCGCAGAGCAAATTTTCCAGCACTTACTAGAATGTAGCGCATTGAAATCTCTAGCCTTTGTATGTTATCTAACCAGTAAAGCCAACCCCACCTATATAAAAGTTAAGTCTTATTTGCAAAACATATTCGCCATCCTCAGTCGCCCAGGGTCAGCATAATGGATAAGATATTAAAGACAAGCTGTGTGCATATAATTATTTTGCGAATACTTATGTGCGAAGGAGCTGAGGAAGAGCCTAGGACTGAGGCAGGACTGAGGAGGGCAAGGAAGTCACTTCAACCCTTTAATGGCTTAAGGGTATGCCCTTGTTTGGAGGATCCTGCTTGACTTACATAGTCTTTGGTCACATGTACCTCAAAAGACCAGGTCAAAGAATATATTAATGACCTTGAAAAGGGCTCATGGATCCCTCTACAGTCAATAGTATATGTAGGATCTAGTAATATACAGTATGCCTGTCCCAGCCTTCTCTGGCCTGGTAGTGCATTTGTATGTCCTGAGCCATGTAACAAAGGCTGATTGCCACTCCCTTACTAGCCTATATTCACTTCTGTAGCATGTTAGCAATAATAGGCATTCTACGTCATGTCTTCTGAACATTTCATCCTATACTCTTCTTATTTCTATTAGTACTTAAAAGGTGCTGCTGCTACTGCATAAGCACCTGCTCCAAGATCTTACTTAAATTAAGGTACTAGGGATACTACCCTGTCTGCTAGATAACTAAGAGTCAAGGATTCATTATGTTGACTATTATCACTCTGAAGCGTAGGCAGGACGAGGATTTTTTAACTACAAAAGTCAAAGTCTCTATATGAAATAATGTAGGGTTTAGTGATTTTTATTATAGCACATTACAGCATAACGAACTTGCGTGTTTTATGATCATTTCTGTGAGTCAGTACTACTCCTTAGGATTATAGGTGAACAGAAAATTGTAGACCCTTCTACGTCATCAGGACAAAGTGAAAACTATGCCCTAAAAGAAGGGGAATGTGCATGGATATGGTTAGGCTTGGCTTAACGACTTTTATTTGGCTGTCATGTGGTCCTCAGGGTGAATAATCAATCCCACTCCGTACGTGTTCAGGCAATGATCAGTGAGTGATCAGGGACTGTCCGGAGGGCTCCGGGATTGCTCAGGGAGCGATCAGGGCACGCACTTTCTCTCTCCGGTCACGATCCAGCTGGCTCAGTGAGCAAAAAGCGGCGGCACTTCGGACTGAATCTGGAAATGGAAAGTTGCACAGTTTCCGCAGGAAAACAGTTCAGTAGCTGCTGAATTGCCCCTTATGTTCATCCAAACATCTCTATTTGCCTACCTCATTGTTTCCTCCATTAGTACCCAGTATACTGCACTCGATACAGAGTAAACAAACAACATCAACAAAATGGTGATAAAGCGGTGATACTCTATTCCGGCCCGACTCTTTGTCAGCGGGACTCGGAGTATTTTATCTTTATCGCCTCCGCCGTTCTAATAGTTCGTCACTAACAATGCCGACGGCTCGTCTGGGACTTGGCTTTTATGCTTAGTTTAAAGAAATATTGGCTCTAACGTGCGCCAATATAGCTTAGAGGCTCATCTCAGATGAACCCTCCTGTCATGTCAGGTGCGGGACCTGAGGAGGAGAATCGTGAAGCCCCGTCCTCTCGGAGGCGAACTGCGAGGGCTTGCGATTCATGTTACAAGAGGAAGGTAGTACTACTTTTGGGAGAGAGCGGAACCGCCTCCGCTGAGTACTGACTGACGGTGAATGCAGATCAAATGTGATGCTGCTGTGCCACAGTGTAATTGGTGCAGTCACCATAATATTCCTTGCACCTTTGATCGAGTGATTCGGAGGAAGCGAAAGGAGAACAGTGAACCAGCGTATGTAGATGAAATTTTGATACGCGTCTAAGCTTCCATAGCTGAATATCGTTCTAGGCAACAGAAAAGCTCCTGTTTGGCGGAGCGAATAAGCAGGATAGAGA